CTTCAGTTTTTTATTTTCTTAGGTTGGCCTGAGTTTGCAGTTTCTAGAGGTGAGAAAACATGCAGAAGCAGATGGAACGTGGACCAGGATGAGCCCCTGATGCTAACATGTCAACTGTCTCTCTCACAAAGTCCAGCGTCTTATGTGACTCCTTCTGTTGACCTATCCCACCCACCAAGTCATCTTAGCGCCACAGGGGACCACACCTCAGCGTGTGACAGTGGCCACTGTCCTCTAGGAAGATAATATTTACGGGCCTACCAATATCAGAGTCACAGAGTTGAGTGCTGCAGGGGCTCCAGATCCCACGCCCTACCCCCAGAGTTGGGAGAGGAAAAGCACCTTGCTACAGGTCACTTAATCAGAGAAAGCTCAGAACTGAACACTGGTACTTCCACCCAGACAGCTGTAAGAACACTAGCTCGTCTATATTTCCTGGTGAGTAGGTTAAAGTTTTGGTAAAGGGTGCCATATATTTTGAAAGATTTACACATCCCCTGTGTTCAACTTAATGCAAACAAAAGCTTTAAATGATTAAACCACCTTCTGGAGTTTATCCATCCCACTTGCAGATCCATTTAAACAATTAATTAGGTGCTTAAAGAATTTATACTTCTATAAATAACTTCTCCCTCCCTACTGCCCTCTCTGTTTTTTTGGAAATCCGTCAGTTTATGGAGAAGATGATCCCTTCTTGTCCTGCAAATAAAGGCCTTCATGCTAGCAATGAGCTTCTTTGAAATCTCAACCAGGGAAGTGGCTGAGGGCACAAGGGAACACCTGAGATGAAGCCGGAAGGCTGAGCATTTATGCTGGGAAGAGAATGAGGGAAGACCAGGCATGTTACCATTCTAATTGTCTAACAATCATTTCAGATATGTTTTACTGTTTAGTCTCAGTCAACAGTCGTGTTTATTATATCAAGCCATAGTAAATAAAACATGCAGATTTGACTCAAATATTCATATTTGAATGATAAAGCAGACATTCAAATCATCTGAGCTTTATCATTTCGCTCACCCTACAGCCTACTATGCCCTTACTAGGCCTTAATATCCTACTGCTAGATTCCTATAGGCCCAAGGTAGGAAGTTTTATGTATCACTGGTGGTTTTCTTGTCTTCTGCATTCATTTATTAAAAACTACTTAGTGAGCCACTGCAGAATGTCCGCCATGGCTTCCTAGACATGAAACACAAGCCTAGGATTCAGGCTCTCTTGGACTCAACAGGGGACACCTTATTCCTCAGGCTGGTGAGCATCTGCATGATCTGGCTATGCACCTCTCTCCTACCATTTTCCTGACCGTTCTTCCTCTTTGCCAATTGTTTACAGCCATACCTGCTGTTGCCTGAAAACACCAGCTTACCCCAGGGCCTTAGCACTTGTGGTCTCTCCTAAATTGCTTTCCCCCCAGTTCTCCTCACTTCATTCAAGTCTTAATTCCAATGCCACATCTTCAAAGAAAATTCTTTTAAAGGCAAAGCTTTTCCTCTACTCTTCCCTACAGATACCTCTCACCTTGCTTTATTTTTCTCCAGAAAATGGCTCACCCCCTGAAATATTATATCTTTGCTTATATTTTCTTTCCCGCATCCCCTGGTGGAGCTTGGGTAAGTCCAGGGTGTATCCCACACCTAGAACTACCCTGTATGCTAGTAGATACTTATATGTAATTGGAGAGTGAGTGGATGATGGGTGAATGGGTGGACGGATGGATGGACGGACTGACTCTAACAGTTTGGGGTGCTTTGTGAACAGTTTTGCAGGAGTCACCATCATGGTTCCCTGCCAGATCCATGACTCCCACTCCTAAATCTCTGCTTGCCCTCCTGTTGGGTTCTTTCTGTGAATGGCATCTTTGGCCACTCAAGCACACAATCTTGCCATTCTTTCTCACTCCTCCCTCCTCTAGTGCCCACATCCAAGCAGCTGCCAATTCTGGTGACACTTTGCCCTCCTGCATCAACTCCTTGCACTCTTCATTCTTATATCTGCCCCCTGTCCAGGCCTCTGTATCTCTCACTGAGACCATTGTCACTGTTTCCGTCTGCGGTGCTCTGCCATCAGGCTCCAATCTTTTCTCCACGGGGCAGCCAAAGCAAGTTTCCTAATGACCAGGCTTGATCATGTCTCTCTCCTACCCCAACACTAAAGTCCAATCCCTTGGCTTGGCACTCAGTGCCCCTGGGCACTGCCCACGCCATCCTATGCAACACCCTTCTCATCACCATTCCTTTATTCTCTTCCTGCTTTGGAATGAGCTGCTTTCTATTTGCTATACGAATCCTAGACGTTCCCACTACCTGTTCTCTGCTCATGCTGTTTCCACTACTTGAAATATTCCCCCCTTTCTTCTGTGATACAAATCATGCAGCCCCAGATCAACTGTGACCTAGCTTCTCCTAGAAGCCATTTCTAATCTTCCAGAAGAGTAAGGATCTTCTCAAGGAGTTGTCTGTCTTGCTTTGGGGACAGATCTTGGGAAACGACCAGCAATAGGAGGCAGAAGAGTTCAGACTCTTAACTGAGAGGACTCAGAGGCAAGCTGTCTGGTTCTGAGACTTTTAGGGTACACATCCTCAGGTAAGTTCAGCTGTGAGTCTGAACTTCCCCATCTGTGAAATGAGAATGACAGCCCTCTTGATACCATGGGTGTGTTATGAGGCTTAAATCTCAGTGACAAAGTGTAGGAAAAACTTTGACACTATAAAAATTATTAAATTCATTCCTGCTTAGGTGCAAAGTAGTGGATAAACAAAAGTGCCACTTCTCCCAGGGAGGTTTCTTGGATATCTTAGGCTGGCTGAGCCTTAAATCCAGCAACAGGTACATGGGGGAAGGGATATTTTGAGGTGGGGCCTCTGAAACTAAAATTCCTAGTCCTTGGGCAATTTGAAAGATGATATATTCATAAAGCTGGGGCCCTAATCGTATTAATAACTACTGATTCCTGAGCATTTTTGTGCCCCAGGCAGTGTGCTAAATATCCTACATAAATGATCTCATCTCATCTTGTTCCTTTACAGAATAACAGAAGATAAAGCAGGCCCACAGTTATATAAATAAATACAACCCCCCCCCAACAGTTCAGACCTGAAAGATATTCTGAAAATGTCCAAGCCAGTGATCTTATTTCCAAGACCCAGAGCATTTACTGAAACTGTTGTGCTGGTGAGGCAGAAACTAGGCATGGAACCCAGATCTTCAGACTCTCAGGGTGGGGCACTGCTTTGTAAAAACCGAGCAGACACCACTCATTATGAAGTCTGGAGCCCAGTGCCAGTTATGCCAACAACAATGTGAAATGAATGGTGGCCCTGGGGTCATGGCATTTGGTCACCTCGGGCCCCTCCACGCCAAGTTGCTCATCCTACTCCAGATGAAGCTCTTAAGAGTCTCAGTCTCCTAGAGATTGAACACTGCCCACCTCCTCCCCCACCCTGGCAACTATCTCATGCAAGCAGTCTCCTCAAAGGTGACTGACTCCATCCACTACGATCCAGCTCGTGCTCCTTTGACGTACCTCTCAGGTCCTCTTGCTGCTCCAGGCATCAGGCTCAGCTCTGGGGACACCCAGCTGCCCTTGAGGCAGCCTTGCCCTGAGCCACCACCCAAGCTTTGTGTTGTCTGTAACTCAAGACTGCCCAGCAGCTTTGTCAGTGACACCAAGAGGCCACTCTCATCAGACATCAAGGAGGAAAAGGTGGCTGGAAATGAAGGAGTGGGGACTTCCACAAAGGGTTGAAGAAAGGAGCCGGGTTGACTAGAAGGCCTAGACACACAAGGGGGGGTGGTGGAGGGGGGTGACTAGGAGGGCAAGCAGTTGGGTCCAAGAGGGTGACAATGAATGCCATGTCTCCTGGTCTAAAGGAAGACACAGGCTAGTGACTCTGGGGACGACCACATGAACACCCTGAAATCTGTTCTGGGCTGCTTCAGTCTCCCCAACTAAATCTCAAACCCAGAGTGCCTGCATAAGAGGGCTCTCTTTTGAAACCAAAGAAAGATAAATTGAAGGCTAACCTCTTTCTTTCCTTTTTCTTACAATAGGATGTGAGCAAATGACTGGCACCTGCTGCTTTTAGGGCGGGGGTGGAGTGGGATGGGAGGGCATGGCTGGAAGCACAGTGACTTTCCTGGTACACTCAGGTGAATTTTTGGGTTCTGGGGCTTCAGAGGGGGATAGGAGCAAGTTATATGTGTGGGGAAATGAGTTTGGACGCCTGGGCCCTAATTCTAATGCAGGCTTTGCCACTAACTCTCTGGTGACCTAGGTCAAGCCATCTCATCGGGCCTCAGTTTCTTCATCTGTGAAATGAGTGGGTTAAACGAGTCCCCAAGGTTTACCTGGTCCTGACACTCTAAGCCACATGATTTTTGGTAAGATAAGCTCCTCAGAGATCTGACCAGGGCACTCTGGAGATTTTGCTGGTGCTTGGGCCTCAGCTGAAAAAAAAAAAAAAA